GAGTTAAACTGCTCGGGGTGTTCCAGCCGCCTCCGGAGAGTGCAGGACCCCCACGTACCCTCACACGGTACTGGGAGGGAGCGCAGCACAATGGCCAGCGTGGCCCCCCGGACAGGGGACACTATGGGGGACACGTGCGCCAGGCTGTGAGGGGCTGGACCTATAGGAAAACACTACTCAGTGTTGTGAGGATGCTCCTGCCCCCGCTTGTTACTTTTGAGTCACTTTTTTCAGTTTAGGAGATGCTGAGGAAAACAGCATCATCATTATTATCATTATTACCATTATTATCATTATTATTACTATTAATATTATCATTGTGCATTTTCACTGTCCTACCCATTTCCTTTGGGGCAGGAGCTTCTTGTGCAGTGGCAGGACAGTGCCCAGTGGGCAGGATGCCCCCTGCCCAGGACCTGCACCCAGTTTTTCGTGCATCCAGCCCCCCATTTTCCCAGAAGCAGCCAGAGAGGAGCCACCAGCTTCATCCTAACCCCCCCCACCACCCATGGCCAGCCCTGGGATGGAGGTCAGGCTGCTGGGGAGCTGGCGTTGGATGGGGTGTTTTCTCTCCTGGCAGTGGGAACCTGAAAGCGGAGTGCTCAAGGATTCTGGAGCAGAGGAGAGGGGCTCTTTCGGTGCTCACCTGCCTGCAGCTCACCGAGGTGAAGACCCACGTGTTGTAAGTGTGGGTGCTCCAGGGCAGATTTACAGCCCTGGGGATGTGGGTGCTGGGCTGGGCAGGCACCAGCGGTGCCCTCGGGCTACTGCAGATGGGACATAAGACTCTCAAAGAAGCCCTAATAATCATAAATAAATAAAATTCTAGGAATGAGCTGGTAGCTGGGAGGTAAGAGGCTTTTTCACTGCATCTGGAGACTGCAGGAAGTGAGCTGCCCTGGCTGCTTCTCCCTCTTTCCTTCAGTTTTTACTGATCAGTCCCTGGCTCTGCGGGAGCCCAGAGTTAGTCCTCGCTTGCCAGCTCCTGCTCCAGGGTTTTCAGACTGTTACAGTCCACGAGCCAGAGTCAGTGCGAGGAGAAGGCAGGGCTGCTGCTGCCAGCGCTTGGGAAACGGGGAAAGAGCTGTTGCTGCCAGCAGAGTTACAACAATGGGCAGGATGGCATCAGCTGCCAGGTCCCCTCCGGGGTCTGGCCAGTGTCACCAACCCCGCTCTCTGCAAACAGCCTTGGGGAGCC